ATATATATATATATATATATATATATATATATATATATATATATATATATATATATATATATATATATATATATATATATATATATATATATATATATATATATTAGCGCTGTCAAAATTAGTGCATTAACGCATTTGATTAATTTTAAATAATTAACGTGTTAAAAAAATTAACGCAATTAACGCAGTTGCAGGTTTTTTTTTACTTCCTGTTGTGGTGGACATGTGTTTAACATGTAAGAAATGTGGATAAGAACTAGGAAGCACTTTTTGAAGGCAAGTTTCAGTATAAAACAATTAGTCGCATCACCAGGCTCTCCAAAGTTTCATGCAGTTTCGGGTGTTTCATTTTTAACTTTCGACTTCTGTTGTAAGTTGATACCGCATGGTGAACAGAAAGAAAATCCTCCGCATTTCGTGACTCGGTGTTCCTTTAAGGTAATATAATCACTGCTTAGGATACATGGTAGAATTTTAATAAGAGTATAATCTTAATAATATTAAAATCGGAGTATTGGTGTCTTATGTGAATGTACTCAGAAAGTCTCTGGTCGCGAGCTGTCAAAGACAGGGCATTACTCTGCCTTTCAGCATGAGCCGTCCAAGTTTAGTGTGTTTCCTCATTAAACGCAACGAAAGCGTATGCTTCGCGTTGTTGTGTCAGAATCCTTGTGAAATAAGGTAATACTTTAGGACGCTTAGCAAATTTGATGAACGTGATCATGCGTGTTGAATCTGAGGGGAGTTGTTCCAGTATGGAAGGCTGTTGGGGCCAAAACGTCTGCAGCGCGTTGTGTGTGTGTCTGTGTTAGGCCCGTTGAGGGGTGTCAGGGGTGGAGTGAGCGACGTATCTGAGTAGGGGCGTGTGCGCGCGAGACGTACCTGAAGGACGGTGGGGGTGAGTTGCGCGCAACATAGGCTACCTGAAGAGCTAGGAGGGATGCGAGGGAGAGGGGTGTGCGATATATTTAACGACCAGTTTGCGAGAAATTATCATTCGTTTGCGGGCATTTGGGAGTCTCTGTGCACTTGCGGGATACTCCTAGTCTTAGCAACTGGATGAATGTAAAGGAGGATTAAGCTAAATTGTTTCTACTCTATAAATAATTTTCTCAACTCAGAGCAATAAAACTTTACAATTAGTGCAACAGTTTGTATTCTCTAGTTTATTATTATAATTTTTGATTTTCTATATATATCTGCAATTCTTGTATTTTGGCATTTTTTTGCAGTCCACTTAGAATTCAACATGGAAATCAATGTTTTCCTTATTGGCATTGATTGTTTTGAAATTTAAATGTCATTAACATGCCTGTGTTTTAATTTCTTTATAAATATGGCTGTCATGCCAGGATCTTGATGGTTTATTGTGGGTATGTTGTTTACATGAAGAAATCTGTTACAAGTTAAACAAAAATTCTAATAAACAATTATATTTTGAATTTAAATAGTTTTTGTCTTGCATTTACATTAATTTTACATTTGAATAGCCAAAATTACAAGTTTCAGTATTTTAAATGTGATTAATCGCAATTAATCGCGATTAATTTTTTTAAAAAGGTGCAATTATTTAGTTAATTTTTTTTAATCGATTGACAGCACTAATATATATATATATATATATATATATATATATATATATATATATATATATATATATATATA